GTCCACGTTTTTTAACAAAGGCATAATGAAGCATATAGTGGCGAAACACCACTAAAAATTGTTTTAAAATATTTCAAAGAGGGCTGACTGGTTAGCTCAGTTTGTTAGAGTGTGGTGTTAATAACACTAAGGTCAAGGGTTTGGATCTCCACACTGGCCAGTCGCCCCCTACAAAATAAATTAATAAAACAAAATACTTTAAAAAGGAAAAAAAAAAAAAGAGTTTAAGTAAATGTGGTAAGATCTTGGAAACTGTTTAACCTCAAGAATGGGTATGTAGTGTGTTATTATTTTACCATTTGACATCATAATAAAAATATTTTTTAAATAGACAAAGTATTTGCTTCAATGAAGAAATAATGAAACAGCAGCAAATGGTTACTTCTGATAGGAAGGGAGAGATGCAGCCCGGGAGGAATATACAGGGGCATCACCACTACTGATGATGTTTTATTTCTTCACCTTTTTGTGTGTCTGAAATGTTAGATACCTTTTTAAAATTAACTCTGAACATTTTAAAGTAATGCATACAAACTGCATAGGGTGTATTTCTCAAGAAGGCAAATAACTTGACAAAAAATAATTCACTGTAGGCAAAACAAAAAATGAAAGAACACTAGATGGAAAAACTAAAGTAGAAGGGTTAAAAAAAAAAAATCGGTCATTCAACTAACAAGACTTGTAAGCAGCAGCAGCATTTACAAAATCTTTTACCAACATCTAAGTCCTATAATAGAGCACTTTAATTTTAAAATGTTCTATATGAGTTAAAACTTTGGAACTTACCATCATACACAAAGTAAGTTTCATCTTTGAAAACAAGCACAGCAGGCATCTCTTTTAGTGTCACATACTGCAAAAAACAGAAGTTTAAATAACTCTTACCACTATAAAATTTTAATCGATAGGTATTATTTCAAATGTATTGAAAAATACCAGAAAACACACACACACACGCACCAATAACAACAAAAAAGATGTTACAGACAGGTAAAAAGAGTACAGTCAATCCCAAGCTCATGCAAGGAGTGAATCTGAATCTCTTTATACATCCCCTGGCACAGTGTCCCATTTGCTATGATAAAAACCATGGACTGTTCTTAGAGCTGATAACAGACCTATAGATATCATTTTGGGAAGTAAAGGATGAGAGGCACTCCGAAGTGGTAGAACAGCAGGGCTAAGATATCAATCAGCCTACCTAGGTTTGAGACCTTCCCTACCCATCACCACCTGTGCGAAAATGAGCCCAACACTTTCTCTAGGGGAGTCTGCTTCCTCATCTGTGAAATAAGGACACTGAGACTGTCTACCTCAACAGGCAGTTATGAGTGCTATATTAGATAACACAAGTGGAACCACTGTTCAAACTGTAAACTGCTCTATACACAACTTACAATGATAATTAATAAGGAATTCATACAAAAAGCCCTGGCTTCTCATACCTACGTTGTTCTTATTTCAAAAGAGTAAAATTATAGTAGAGAATAGTTTCAGATGAGAAGACAAATAATTTTGGTAAGCCACAAAGAATTACTATATGAGCATGGTAATATGTAAAATAACGATATATAAGTAAATCAGTAGATAAATAATAAATAATAAAAGTAAATCAGTAGATAAATGATAATAATGATTTAGTAACACTACTACTAAAATATGATACGGCACCAAGAACAGAACTATTTTAAGGACAGTGGTAAGGCTGTTAGGTATGTCTCTATAATCAAGCATGCTCCATTGGTGACCCATCTGCAAAGATTCTTGGGAAGTATTTTTCAACAGTTAGCATCTCTTTCAAGGATATCCCTGAGTGGTCCTTACTAGAACACTACTGAAATACAGTAGTCCCCCTTATCCATTATAGATACATTCTGAAATCCCCAGTGGATAGCTGAAACCACAGACAGTATTAAACTCTACATATACTATGTTTTTTCAATCTGATAACAGAGTAACTATACTAACTAACTGACAGGCAGGCAGTGTATAATAGTGTGCATACTCTGGATAAAGGGATGACTCATGCCCAGCAGGACAGAGCAGGATGGCTGAGATTTCATCACAATACTCAGAAGGACGCACAATTCAAAACTTATGAATCATTTCTGATTTTAGACTTCAGCTGACTGCAAAAAGTGAAACTACAGATAAGGGCAGACTACTGTTGTCTAAAACCTTGCAGCCATCTAGTTCCACATATTCTGAATCTCTCTCTTCCTTGTGTTTCCTTAAAGTCACTAACTTATACAAGGGTACTTCAAAAAGTTCATGGAAAAATATTACTTAAAGATAATACAGGGCCGACCCCGTGGCGCACTCAGGAGAGTGCGGCGCTGGGAGCGCAGTGGCGCTCCTGCCGCGGGTTCAGATCCTATATAGGGATGGCCCGTGCGCTCACTGGCTGAGTGCGGTGCGGGCAACACTGAGCCAAGGGTTGCGATCCCCTTCCCGGTCACTAAAAAAAAAAAAAAAAAAGACAAAGATAATACGAATCTTTCCGTGAACTGTTTGAAGAACACTTGTGTTACGGTTATTTGTCTACATGCCAATCCTCTCCATTCATCTGTAAGTGTTCAGAAGTCAGAAACTGTCTTAATCCATCCTTGCATCCCTTAAGTGCACCAAGTGGGATTTTCATAAACCCTAGCTGTAAAGCTAATAAAGCTCTGAAGACAAAACATTAGTATTTAAAATATAGGGAGACTATAAAATTATGAACTTTGTACTTAAAAATTCTCTATGGGAATAAAACTCCCCATATTATTCTGAAATAACTATTATTTCCCGATCAGACTTTTGCAACTATATACTCAGAAAAAGAGATGACAAATATTAATATTTCAGGAATAAAGAATGCTTAATGAAACATTAGTATTGCATAATAACCAAGAAATATGCTCATGTAGCAGATGCTGTTGGTGCCCATTCAGACCCTCTGGGTTCTGGAGATCTTGACTTAGGACACCCACTGTTATAGGAGGATTAAGATGGTGTCAGGGCCTAGAACTCAGCAAACCCTCTGGTGCACTCCAAGTGAAACAGCTTGCAAAACTTTGCAGATGAAGGTCCAACATAAATTCTCATCTCTAATAATAAAATGCGGTTCATTAGACTTAGGAGACAAAAATGTAACAGCAATTCTAGTCTATTAGAGGCCTTTGTATCACATTAAGGCATTCCAGAACAGCAGCTTGTAACATTTTGGGGTACCTGAGAATCTGATGATCCCCCACTAAAAGTAAATGACATAGATACGTATGTTTGTACATAAAAAAGTAAAAGTACACATAAAGTATTCTGCAAAATAACTTCTGTCTTAAACCAAAGTAAATGGGTTCAGGCTGACCAGAAATTGTCTAGGGTTCTCCAAGGAGTTGAAAATCACTTCAGAATACAGGCATACTCTGCATAATGATGTTCTGGTCAACAACGGACTCCATACACAATGGTGATTAGAGCAGTAGGTTATACCATATAACTGACGTGCGTAGTAGGCTATGCCATCTAGCTTCACATAAGTACGCTCTACCATGTTCGCATGACAATAAAATTGCCTGATGATGTATTTCACAGAATGTATCCCTGTAGTTAAGCAATGCATGACTGTACATATTATAAGAAAAACATCAACGTACACATTGCAGGACACAGTAACACATACTCTAGATATGTCTGCAATTTTCTTAAGAGAAAATATTTAAATATTAAAACATATTTAAAAAGTAATCAAATGCATGACTTAGCTATGTGAAAAAAATTTCAATTTTTTTATAACTTATATTAATTAAAAAGAAAAAAAGAAATGCTTCTTTGATTTCTTTCATGTTCCCTTGAAACATTTCCAAATTTCACAGGTTCCCTTCTCAGCAAAACTTTTCTAAAGAGAAGTTTATACTTGTGGTTTCCATTTTCTTATCTGCCATTGGTGTCTCTCAAACATCACCAATGAGATATATGTTCCCATTACTCCTCTCAAACTATTCCTCTAAAAACCACCAACAACAACATCCATGTGGACAAACATCATGATCACTTTCCTCTCCACATCTTGGTCACTTCGTAAGTATCTTACACAATTGGCCACTCCTTTTTTTAAAACACCTTTTTATGTTGGCTTCCCACTCACCTCCTTTTTCTACTTTACTGGCTATCTCTTCATTTTCTTTCATTGTCTTCAGATTCTAGGCCCTCTTATTTCCTTAAAAAAAACTACATCCCATATCCAAAAAGTTTATGTATAAAGTCTTGACTTAATTCTAGACTCCAATATCCAACTGCTTATTATATGCTTGTATTTGGAGGCCTAATCAAATTAAAACGACCAATTCAAAGCTCTTGATCACTCCCCCATGTCTCAATTTGTTCCTTCCCCAATGTTTTCCAAGCTCATAATACCACAATCTATCCAGTTGTTCACACAAAAAATCTAGGAGCCATCCTTGATTAATCCCTTTTCTTCCTCATCAGCAAGTTCTGACAAGTCGATTTCCTAAACACAATTCTTTCACTTCTCCCCACCCCCACACCCCAATATCCTAGATTATTGCAAAAGTTCCATTGATCTGCCTGGATCTACTCTCATACCCATTCAATCCATTCTGCAATTAGCATAGAGTAATGTCCTTCAAATAAATCACATTCTTCACCAACTTCAACCTCATCATACACTGCCATGACTTATAAGACCTACACTGGCCTTGATACCTAATCTATCGCTGATATCTCCTCTCTCACTACATATAGTCACACCGGCCTATGGTTCTGTTCCTCAAATATGCCAGGCGTGTTCTCTTCTTGGGCATTTGTATTACCTACACCGTTTCTGGTATACACAGCCCACAAATCTGTGTGACTTCTTCACATCATGTAAGTCCCAGTTCAAATATTTTCTTCTTAGACAGACATTTCTTGATCAACCCATACAGAGTAGCCAACTCACTCCTACATATCCTAACCACCACAGTGACCCTTTATTTTTTTTCCATAGTACTTATGATACTGTATAGATTTGTATACTGAGGATCACTATCTCAGTCTGAGGTCCCAACAGAAGACCTCCACTGGAAGACACACACACACATACTCACACAAATTAATCGTAATTAAATTGAATGTGGGATCAGCGGGTGGGCGTCTGGGGGCTGAACTGTGCGCGTTATTAGGGTGACCACCGCGGGCAGCCTCAGCCCGAGGGTACTGAATAGTCTGTGACCCAGGCTGGCCTGCTGGCCCTCGTCTTCTCCCCGCCGGGAGTGCCCTGGAGGGGAGGGGCAAGGACGTGGCTGCGCTTGGCCCGGCCACCGGCGCGCGGGGCCGCATCCTCTCCGTACCCCCGTCCCCGGCCTCGCAGATGCCCTCCTGGCGGCAGGGCTGCGGCGGGGAGCTCGCCAGTCTCGCCTGCCTCGGCTCTCTCCGCTGGTGAAAACCACATTTTGAAGATAGTAATTATCTACAGTCGTTAAGCGGCAGCAATTAGAGACTTCATCTACTTCCTGAGTTTCCTTGTGACATTTCTATTGTTTACCCTTAATAAGCCCGGAGAGAGGCTTCGCAGGATTAAAGCAGGATAAAGTGGGCAGTGAAAGGGGACGGAGGGGGAGGAGAAAAGTGCAGGAAACTCGGGAGAAGGAGCAACGTGCGTTTAGTATTGGAGGAGAAAGCATTATTTTTCCCTTTGGATGCGTCGGTCCTGGAAACCCGCGCTTTTGTTCTTGGCTGTTGAAAGACCTGTATTCAGAACATCCTTGGTGCTGATAGGTAGGGTTAGCACACATGTGAGGAGTCATGGGTTATGAAAAGACCAAGGGAACTTTGAAAAACGTCTTTTGATGACTGAGTACCTTGAAGTAATTGCCGACTGAAAAATAATTTTAAAGAGAGGAGTTTTAAAGAGAAACTGCTAGACACAGTATAACTTTGTTGCTGGAGTACTAAATGGGACAGTATTGGAAATCTCATTACCTATTTTGAAGCTGTTTGCAGATAAGCATTTTTTTCGCCTGCATCTTAATTGCACTTACAAGACAAATGTTAAGGTTCACTGGAAGGAGGAAGAAATGGCAGGAAAAAAGCCACAGTTTAGCCTTATGTAATTTCAACCCAAACTAATTTTGTGGAGTTTAGTTTTGTGTGGCTGGCTTCAAAGAATGTTTAACACTGTGAATTTGACATGGAAGATTAACTTATGCCAGAACTTTATTTCATTATTTCCTTTTGAGGAAATCATTGCTGAGATGTTTCTGAAAAACAGTGCAAGTGGGCCTAGAGAGGTTATATGTTCATAGCTGGAAGTGCAGGGAATTCTGAAGCCATGAAAAGGATTTATACCCTGGATTGTTTGAGCATCCTAGGCTTACTCCAAAGTAGGCTGAGTAAATACATTGCCAGTTGCATGTGCTCTGCCCTTGACTAATGCTTTTCCAGGAGACGCTAAGTATGGCATGGGGCACTTACTAATAGTTAGGACCAGACACTCAGCAGTTACTTGTGCACCTATTGTGTGCCAACACTGTTTAAGCATTGTGGATCCAGCAGTGAACAAGGAATTTTCATTTTAGTGTGGAGTGACAGGCATAAACAGAAAGAAACTTGTAAACAAATAATAAATGACGATTTCAGGTGTTGCCAAGTTCTAAACAGAAGTGGGTTAACTTAGTGACTGCTTAAGGTGGGTATTGCTTTCTTCAGCTAGAGGTCAGGGGAGGTCTCTCTGAGGAAGTGAAATGTGAGTAGAGGACACTAGTCTGGGTTTTGAACACTTGAATTGTGGTGTTTTTCTTTTTTTGAGAGTAGGTTTCTTACTTTAGCAAATTGGACACATCGAAGAATGCAGGTAAAATAGTGAGGAGGTAGGTAGATTTTAGGAGAGACCCTTATTAATTTGTATGCCACCCTTAAGACTTGAGACAGTCCCCTTTCTCTTAAAACATCAATAACATTTACATAAAAATTAATATCAACTTTGCATGTCTACTTCTCTAGCACATAAATATTGGAAAATAGAGGATTTCTAGTAGATTTTTCTTATTAATAAGATTATTCTTGAGGGCTAAAAATGCCCAATGTTTGATATTTATAGAAGCTTTTGCTTAAAAAATACAGTTTTTGTTGTTGTGTGACTGTCCTTTTTGCTGTCTTCTGAATTTCATAGTAAAAAGTTACTATGGAATCCTGGAGAGGAGACTGAAGAGCTGATGCGTAGATGTCTGTATGCACATACAGATACTTTTGCATCTTTTCACGTGTTGCACAATACAGATGGTCCCCAACTTACAATGGTCCACTTCGATTTTTCGACTTTACGATGGCATGAAAGCAGTACACGTTTAGTAGAAACTATTTCTCGCACCCATATAACCATTCTGTTTTTCACTTTTAGCACAGTATTCAGTAAATTACATGAGATATTCAACACTTTATTACAGAAGAGGCTTTGTGTTAAATGATTTGGCCCAACTGTAGGCATGTGTAAGTGTTCTGAGCACATTTAAGGTAGGCTAGGCTAAACTATGATGTTTGGTAGGTTAGGTGTATTAAATGCATTTTTGACTTACGATATTTTCAACTTATGATGGGTTTATTGAGACATAACCCCCGTCATAAGTTGAGGATCATCTGTATTAAGAGAATGCCACATAGTTAGGATTTTAGTGACGTCATCATTTTCTGAGCATATTAGTGGAATTTATTTCATGATCCCAACCAGTTAATGTATCATACCCAGAACTCTTTGTTGTGCCCATTACTTAATTGAACGTAGAGAAAATGACTGGTTTCACCATTGGGCATTTTTTGCTATTAATTTAATATGTGGCTAACACTTTAAAGTTGAGGAAGTGTCTCAGGATTTGAAAGGCAGTTCAGTGTAGTGGGAAGAGCATGAGTTTACAGTTAGGGGACCAGGATTTAAGTCCCACTGTCTTGGCAACTGGCTTTGTGATTTTGTCTTAGTACCTCCCCCTCTCTGTTTCTTTAGGAATAAAGAAATGGGATTAGATTATGTAGTCTTCAAGAGCTCTTCCTGGTCTGTACTCTGTAATTCTGTTCATTGGCTCAAATGTAGAAAATTTAGGAGAGTATTTCAATAAGTTTGTGGAAATATAGAATTAAAAGATAATTCAGATCTTTCTGTGAACTTTTGAAGTACCCTCATATAGTTGTTGCATATTGCAAGTAGCCTGACATTTGTTGATTTTGTATATTCTTAAAGTGATGATGCTAGAATTCAAAGGGGAACACATAACTGTGTTTTAATAGTGGAGCAGACTAATGCTGTGATTGCTTTTTATGAAGTACATATGCTCAAAACAGGCTTTTTTTTAAAGTTGTATTGGTATATATGTATATATATATTTCACTCATTGGTGTTAGGGGAGCAGACTAATGCTGTGATTGCTTTTTATGAAGTACATATGCTCAAAACAGGCTTTTTTTTTTAAGTTGTATTGGTATATATGTATATATATATTTCACTCATTGGTGTTAGGTTGTACATGAGAGCATTCAAATTGGGTAAAACTTTCTGTTCCAAGC